ACGTATACTAGGCAAATATTATCCGGATTTACCACAAGCAATAGTATATCGTGGTGCTGTAATGGCCGACCAAGGTCGTTTTGAACAATGTCAGACCTTATGGAATTATGCTATTGATTTGCGTATGATTAATAATGTATGTTTGTTATTTTGTATTTTAATATATTATATCTTTGTGAATAATTATTTATGCATTATTCTAGATATCCGTTGAGAGAGATTTGTTGCGCTTCGCTCAATTATTCTCTCAAATGCTCAGAATTGACAGGGCAATTATAGATCTCTCAACTGTTTTATCAGTACTTGTCAAATGCCAACAAGAAATAGAAAATAACAAATATAAAATTGCACATCCAGGACCCAAAGATCTGCCCCAGTTGTTAATAGTAATTATTTGTCATAATTTTTTGATATTGATAATAAGCATTATTGTTATAGGATCACAATGAACAGAATGTCGTGACGGCGTTGTATATTATCAAAATAATAACAAAGTTATCCTGTCGCACAGATATTGAAGTACTAAAAGAACAAATCGATCTTTTATATTCAACATTACTTAAATTTATACAATGTGATACACGATTAGCAGACGGTCAAACTCTGCTGCACTTATCTGTGAATGGAGTTACACCTGTGGATGATTTTTTACCAGCGGCAATATGCAGGTAAATTATAGAAATATTTTATAAAAATAATAATTACTATACACTCAAATACAGTGAAACTTGAAAAATCTAATTGTTCATATCTATTCGTTTAGTAAACGTTTAGCAAATTACATTCTCTTATATATTCACTATTTAAATATAAGTAAAAATATAGCTTTGTCCCTGTCAAAGCTTCAATAGCCTTTACTCTGTGTGTCAGTAATTAATAATAAGCTTTTAGTTAGGAATCCTAAGCTGATATGACCAGGTGGTATTGCAACTATAATCAAATCTGATTTGATCGTTTCGACTGTTATTGAAATTATATAGTATAATTTCAACTTTTTAAATGCATTACTTATGAAGAATTCATTATTAAATATATCAGTGTTTTAAACTATATCTTGTATTCCTTCAGTTTACTTCTCTTCTCAGTCAAAACAAAACAAATTTTCACGGTATATTATATGTGTTAATATTAATATATAGTATTAGTTTTGACACTTTAAATCCAAATTTGAAATTTAATAGTAAACAAAACAGTTTTTTAAAAATATACGGATCTGAGTCATCATTTTATGTGATAGCTTTATTTAAATCTGAATCGATCAAATGAAAATTATTTATGCGTGTATATCACATCGCATGTATATCCCATCCCATCTTAAACCTGGATACAGACATTGTTAAACTATATTAATTTCACTCTATATGATATTTATACCCAAATCTAAGTCGATCAGATGTAAGATATTTATATAAATCACAATTCTTTCGATAAGTCTCAACATGCTGAACAAAAGTATATTTTTTCTATCCAATGTTTTTCTCACTACATTACAATCATTATTTATCTTCAATTAAAAATAATATAATATATATATATATTATATATAATATTTACTTAATATAATATATCAACATACATATGTATGAAATGTAGTTCCATAAAATATATCGACGACCTCTATATCTCTGTATATTCGTGTATTCGCACCCATCCTCAATATGAATTGCGGGACCATATTTATATATATGTACATTCATTATTTAATTGGTATGATTGCTTAAAAAATAAAATTTTACTTTAATTACTTAAAGTAATGAGGGCTTCGAATCGGAATTTTTTCCGTTTTGGTTTACGTTTCGGTTTAAAACAAACAAAATATATTGAAATTTAGCTGACCATTCAACGCCAAGTATGCTAAGTACTCATCATCAGTGGTCTTAGGAAATATTTGAATTTCTTTTTAATTAGTTTATAGTGCGTATATAATTTGTTTCGACCGATTTCTGTTAATTTTTCATTTTTATTTTATGTAGTTATCATTATCTTTATATTTTTAGATTTCCATGCTATCGTACAGCTTTGTTGCTAGTCAATATTGGAGCTTCTGTTTCTGCTATTGATTGTGATCGGAATACACCATTGCACACATTAGTTTCAAGTGTAAGTCTACTTTATATAATTTAAAAATTTATTTAACACAAATATAATATTTTTCTGTAGACGCAGTTCTCACCTGAAGAAAATCCACACCTTTCTGTGCAAGTAGAAAAACTTGTGAAACTTTTTGTAGATGTTGGTGCACATTTGGATGCAGTGAATGCACAAGGTCTTACACCAGCACAAGCTAGCAAAGTTGGTAAGTATAGAGCTAATATGTTTATTTATTTCAATTTTATAATTAATAAAAAATTATTTTTATGATTTTTAGTCAGTATTGGTAATCTCATATTGGGTTTTCAAAATTCTATGACATCTCTTAAGTGCCTTACATCACGTTGCATTGCTCTGCATAAAATCAAGTACCAAGGATTGATCCCCACATCACTGGAAGCATTTATACAAATGCATAGTGCTGAGAAATTCTGTGCGTAATTTATTTAATATAATATATAAAATAATGTTTACATTTGGCTGCAGTATTTTGTAAAGACATTTAAAAACATGAATAGACTTAGATATTTCATAAAAAATTTTTAAATTCTAATTCAATCAACTTAAGATTGTAATTACTATTTTTTAACTTTTACCAGAATAACCTAATTTGAATTTAAATTTAAAAAAAATAAATATAAATTTTTTTATGAAGTCTATTATTGTTCCTAAAAAAACTTGCAGTAAAAATCGTATGCAAATTTATTTTGTAAATTTAATAATATTATATGATGTATTTTGTTTTGTACTGTCTGGCCAAACTGGATCAATTATTGTTAATCAAAAAGAAAAAATTCAAAAAATTATTTATTTTTATACCATTTTTACACATAATTAATTTGAGCATTGAACAAATTTTTATAACGAAAAATTCTATTTATTTTTATTTTTTAGTTTAAAAATATTTTGACTGAATTAGTTATATATATAAATATATATTGTAAAATGTATTGTTGCATATTTTTACCGCCCAAAAAATTTATTATATTGCTTAAATATTTTATTTATTTGCCAAACTAAAAGTCTAACTTTAATTATTGATTAATGGGAAAATAATTGTAAGATAATAAATTTGTATAAAATAAAAACGAAAATATAAAAACATTAAAATTTTTTAATCGTATTTGTTATATATATTTTTAATTTTATTATTTTAAAAGCGACAATCGATCTTAACAAAATATGCAAAAAAAACAGTTTATAATAATTAATTAAATTTATATAGCTGTGGTTTACGGGTTCATTCTATAAATAGCACAGGAATTTCACTTTTTGTATACGAATTAAAATAAAAAATTGTTAAAATTCAAAATTTGAATAACGCAACTTGAATATACGTTCACTTTTTGTGTTAATAGTAAGTCCACGGGTCAAATTCGATTGAAAGCGATTCTTACTACTTATAGTCTAGAAATTATGTACGTTTAAATAAAACAATCGATGTTTTCAAAGTCCACAGATGATGGATAATTTGTAGGCATATGAAACATACAGGTGTTTCATAAGCGCATATATTTCTAAATTTATAGAGATTTTCTGCAGACATATGACTTTCCATATACGATAATTAATTATAAAAATAATTTTAAAAAAATCGTTGAATTATATACAGAAACTGTGTCTCCAAATAATTCAAAAGAAAATAGAATATTTTTGAAAATATTAGTGAGAAAATTCTTCACTATTTTTTTGAATAGTAGATATAATAAGATGACCTAATATATATCTTGAATTTAAATTTACTTTCTTATTGTGTAAGTTTAATTAGGTTGAGTATGTGGTCTATGTAGAAGATCGTTACTTTTCCCCAACGGTCTTCGGATTTTTTTTTACTGAAAAAGGGACAGCTATTATTCATCTCTAGTACTTTATGAGTTTATTTTATAAGTCCTGGATTTTTTTCTAAAGTTTTGTTTGGCAGAACTTTATTAGTCAACAAGGATTCTAAGATGGATTGGAGAGTGTCTAAGCTAGAACAAACGAGTGATTATCAGGATATCTTTTATACATATTTCTTATTATACCTGTAGATTTTTTCTTGTATAAAGTTAATTTTCTTACCTTACGAGTATGGGTATACATACGGATGCAACTGTAGATTCTGTGAAAAAATGAGGAGTAAGCCATACATGTGCTGTTAGAATGCCCTCCGCTAATGCATATAAGGAATAGGCACCTGGGAATGTATATTCTTACGGAAGAGGCAATAAAACTCTGTAAAGTAGGTTTTATACTACTTTTTACTCTAAACCCAGAAGGGGCACAATAGATTTAACAGTCGCAGTGCCAGTCACAGTGCCTCTAACAATAATAATAATGCTAAGTTGATTTTCAAATCATTGTCCATGTGCTTTTAAACTGTCGTTTGTGATACGTTAATATGCTTCCGCCCAAACCCTTAAATCTCTCCCCTCCTCCTGAAATATCTTCTCAAACAAAAATCCATTTTTACAATGCTTGTGTTAAAACCGTCCTATTGTATAGATTAGAAACTTGGTTGGTCAACAGTAAGATACATAGAAAACTTTAAAGCTTTGCCAATAGATGCCTGCGTAATATTTTGAGAATCTGGTGGCCACGTAGAATTTCAAATATGGAACTACTTCAAGGAATAAACTAAAAAGATATCAACAAACAAGTCTATGCTCCTGATGGAGTATGGTTAATAATAATAATAATGATGCCTCTGGTATAATGCTTATAGGGCTTTTATTGGAACCCTTAAACTATTTCTACATTTGACAGTTGTATACCGTACGTCCGTACGTCTATTTAATTACAATTTTGTAGAACAAAAGTTTGTTCAATAATTAGCTCTAGGCTGTCTACTAGTACCTTACAGTATTTAATATTATAAAAAAAAATATATAACATATTTTTGCATATAATATTTTATTTTAAGAGTTACTAAAAATATGAGCGTAATTTATTTAAAATTAACAAATAGTATTTTCTGCTTGTTAACAATTTTATCATATAGAATCACAGTTCACAATTAGAAATACACTAACAAAAGTTCCTTTATAAAAATATTAATCGATTATAAAATTTTGAAAACCTCCTTTTGGATACATTATAAAAATTACATTTTACATTTTAGAAATGAGTTCTATTTTTATATATTGGCTTCACTGCTTTTTGAGGTCTGATGAACCTTTGGATACACTTCCGGTTGACGCATTACTTCTTCATAAGAGGGTGGTGGTGCTAAAAGTATAAAAATACCATAATTTACACATTAGTTCTTTTCACACTAAAAATAGATATAAAATGTATTAATTATGAAAAAACCAAATAGAATGACAATTATAAATATTATGAACAATAAACTAATTTTGCTAGCACTTAGCATTAGCGACATCGACATCATTATTTGCTAATTAATTATTAATTAAATAATTTTGTAAAAATAGAAAAACGACAATAAATTATTTTCCAGCTGATACTTAGTCATATTTACGTCAATTAACTATAAATGACCTCACAGATTATAATTACCTTATGTGTATATTAATTTTTAATAAAGTATTTGTGACGTCATTTGAATTTACTTACCATTGATAATGTATTCCTCATCATGTGTGTAGGCAGGATTAATAACTGCATCTGTTGGATATGTCGCCGTTTCGATGGTTCGCTCTTCAATGGTTGAACGCTGTGATCTATGTGAGTGTCGTCTTAGACTTTGACTATTTTGATGATAAGAATCCATTAAACGATTTTCGCTTTCGATGTCGTCCGATTGTAATTGTATAACGTGAATTGAAGGACGTCGACCTGGTAAGGAAAATAATTTTATTTTTAATTATGAGAAGAATTTTCTAAATTTTAAAATAATTTTAAAATAAAATTTATAATTTAGATTAAGAAAATAGAAATGCTTCGAACAGTAGTATATAGCAACAACAAAATTTTTATTTAATTCCAATTAATTGAATTTATGGCTGACCATTGATTATTGCTAAATGCCCATCATCATCAGTGGTTAATGAATTATTTCTTATATTAATTTATTCATAAATAATTTATTGAGACTGCCAGTACCAAGGGTTGAATCCGTATCCTGCCAAATTTAAAGCTCAGAGTCAGTGTTCGTTAGGCAACTGAGCAGTTTTGGAATTATTTCTTATATTTAATTATTTGTAAATAAGTTTTTGAGACTGCTAGTATCAAGTATTGAACACGTACCCTACCAAATTTAGAGTTCAGTGTCAGTGTGAACAGTGACTCAAGTAAAGTAAAACCGTACTTAACTACATATTCGAATTTGAAATTTTGTTTAAACTTAAAGCTTTTACTACTGTTTGAAAAATTTCTCTATTAAATATTATAGTTTCTATAAAGTAACTACGGTTACAACTGACGTTAAAATCAAATTTAATATATATTAGTAAAATTTAATTCTATTATATGAAATAAAATTTATAGTTGGAGCTATATGATCTAACAAAGCTCTACAGATAATTGAAACTCAATCATGGGCGTAAGGTATGATATACTGACATGACAGAAGCATTTATATATTTTTAGAGTGAGTTCATTAGTTCCCATTCAGCGAAAGGACTAACGGCCATTGTATTATTTTGAAATAATTAAACGTTGTTGAAAAGTTTAATTAACAGTTAATTAAGATATAGCTATTCAAGCTACAGCAAATGCGCTTAGTGGGTTATAAAGATATTATGGATTAACATATGACTCAGTAGCTTATTAAGGTACAACAGTTTATCAAGCTAATTTACTATATTAAAGATAATGGTTTTAATTAAAAAAGAAAGGGTTAGCGGCCCTTTGCGATAACAATAACGGTCATCGCTATCGACGTGATGATTAAGTTTTGAAATAAGATCTTATTCAATAGAAACAATAACAATAGAAAAGTGAATTTTTTAATAAAATGACTGAATTCTTTTAAACATTCTTCTGGTTAATTGAAACAATACGCCACAAAACTTACTAAAGGCTACTTCATCCTAACTAATATATATAAATGGATATTAATATCATTTTATCTTTTATTACCTACATGACTTTTAATAAAATAAAAGATCTATTTGCATTAATTTGCAATATCGGATAATTAACTCTATTTTTATATTTAAAAGGCTCATCTCTTCGATTTCCTAATTTTAAAAATCAGAGAATAAAAAGCGGGAACGATCTTCTTCGATTTATTAATTTTAATGGTAGGAAAATAAGAACTGGGAAACTTTTAAAGAAACTAGCTTAGAAAATGTTTGGAAGACAAGCAAACTTTCCTTACCATTTACAAGCACGTGAAAAAGAAAGATGGGATTTAGTATTGGATTTAGAAATAGAAGATAATGTAATAAAGAAGTAGAGTAATAATATTTCAACAAATTTAATTTCTTTTATACACGCAGACCTTTCGTAGGACATTTCTTTTTTTCGTGTAACGTTCAGAAATGTGAATTTGGAATAATAATAATATCCGGTTTATAGATAAATTATCATTTCTTCTATTAACTATGATTAAAATTGAGTTTTTTACTCAATCTATGTTAGGTATTAAAATTACGTTACCACTCAATTGGTCAGACATTCTATTGTTATTAATATTTCTAATATCTTTTAAATATATCTGAAGTCTGGTTAATAAATGGTTTCCTTTATTTATTTATCTGATCGACAAGATTCTGGTAATAAAATCTGAGCGATATTTCTACACTTCCAATTTTCTTTGTCTTATGATTTTCAGAAAATAAATTCTGTAATCCTAATTAAAGTTTACGATTCTTAACTTTAGTCTAAATCAGCTTAGAATAATTTATTTAAAGTCAGCAAAGGTATTTTTATACTTTTTTTAATATATCATTACTTCTTAAAGTAAAAATAAACATCTCAAATTCAGTGGCTATTTAGAGGAAGTGGGGAGAGAAATTAAAACATTGATCGCCCCTTGATAATATAATATTCAGATAACGCACTTCAAAAACGACATTTAAATAAAATTCTACAATCAAAAATTATAATCTTTTTGGAAAACTTATGTGTAATTATTATTTAAAGTATCTATGACGATCAAGTGATAAGTTACTATAGATTTTCCAATGAGAACTGTTAGATTAGAAGAGCAATCTGAAAAATAAGAAGTTACTTAGATCGAATATAACTCTGCATTATACTATTATTTTAGGAGAGGGTAGGCTGAAGGGGCGATTATTAATATAAGTAGCAGTAACACTTTTACTCGACGATATCAATTATACATTGTGTTGCAAAGAGGAAGCCTGCTACTTTCTATATAATTTAAGGTACTACCTTTATTTAACCATTACTATCTTCATATAAAATTTAGAATAAATATCCGCTATTCAATCCAAATCGGTAATTAGGTAGTCATTGTTAGATTCCATTTCCTTTTTATCATAACAATTCGTGTATATTGGGGCAGTTTAAACTCACATTTCAATATTTTAATCTGCCTATTTAATAAATTGCTTATAACATAGTCCTATCTTAAAAACGCTCAGGTAGCTAGTGTATATATGGATAAGACACACTACCAGTTACCTGTTTGGATTAAATGGCAACTTTAGACTTTTCTTATATGGACTTTGACTCACAGCTTTTAGTTGTTAGATAAAATAGGCGAATTCTAGTTATAAAATTTAATATTGGGGTCTGTAGTTGATTCTAAATCGGGTTGTATAAGCTGTTTGTAATTATTTAATATAATTATTTTTTACTTTATCCTGTGTAGTCAAAACGGTGATTGATTAAATGGAATAACTTAAACATTCAAATTTTTAAAAGTTGACATTTTATTCTTTTTCAGTAATTATAATATAAGCCATTATTCCATTACCGGTTTGGATTTTATTTTTTATTCTTGTTTGATAAAGCTATTTAAATGTCATACTTTGACCTGCGTAAACCATAAACTCCTTCAACTACAACTACTGTTACTACTGTTTAAAATATTAAATATTCAAAAAATTGATTAAACTGACTGCTCACTACACCTACTTTTAGCTACAAAAACTCAATCCACAAAATGGTTAAGTTCCCCAACCAATTATTTTAATAGTCTAATATTGTTTATTGTTAATTACTTTAATTTACTATTTATTAATATGTAAATCGAGATTTACATAAATCGAGATTTACATATTAATCAAGCTTCGAGATTTACATATTAATCAAGCTTGTGTTTAAAAACCGACTTCAACAGATGGATATGGTACTAAGCACAGTCCATTCAAGCCCACAAAACTTTTAACTATTTAATCACTTACTCTTAAATATTGTTCATTGTCTATTCTTAAGTTGCAGATCGCAATAAAAGAATATAAAAAATCAAAAAAAAAAAAATTCCAATCTCAGCACCCTATCAGACTTCTCTATTAATTAAAGCTTACCTGTTCCAATAGCGTCGGTGTAATTATCGGTGAAAGCAAAATGTGGTGTGATTGTTTTCTTGCACTTTAGAAATAAGACAATCAATATCCAGCCCAGTATTAGAACTAAGTAAACAAATCCCAGCATACTAATTAGGCACTTTGAAACTAAAGTCTCTACAGCTTCAGAAACAGTCCTTTCGCACTTCACATCGGTTCAAAATATTATATTTTTTAAATTGATTTTTTTTTTCAGTTACAAAAACAACTTTGTTTTGCTTTAAAAATCAATAAAATTATAGAAAAATTAAAAAACAATACGCGGCACTGGACATTTCACTTGGCGCGCTTGCTACTAACACATTGCGGGTCAAAACAGGAACTGAAAACTGAAAACAGACCAAATACCTAAAAAAAGGATACATAAGTGGTGCGCTTTCCATTGTCCGTGAACGTACTTTAATGGATTATTTGCTGAGGTGATGGTTGGCTGTATTGGCTGCTATGGCGCCCATTGTTGCTTGTATTTGAATAGGTTTGACCACAACAAGGCAGACGCATCCGACGTGGTTTCTGTGTATAAAAATACTTCTGCTGGCATTTTATGGCATTTTTGCAGTACCGACACACCGTCCTCAAAATGTGGGTGTGGGTGCATGTTTTAAGTTTTCGTTCAAATATAATATGACCAACGAACTTTAATGTTTTCTTTGCTTTGCTTTTCTTTTAGGATTTCTATTTACTAAATAATATTTTTATAAAATTTGAAATAATACTGTTTATATTTTCCTACTGTTTATTTTGTCTTGTTTTTCGTGTTTTGTGTAATGTTTTCTGGTCTTTTATTTTTCATTAAGATTATTACGTTGATTTTAAGGGTCAGCAAATTTCTCGGATTCTATTTCAATATTCTAAGCTTTTGACAAAATTTTTTTTAAAATAATTTTCCAAGAATTATAGTGATTACAGTATTACGCCCATTTACAACTTTACCTGACAATTTGCTAGGTAAGGACATCAATTATAACAATTTGTTAACTGGAATGTCTTACAACGCGTTAAGTAGTTTTTAGGAAGAGGATAGAAAATAGTTTCCCTAAGCCTTTACGAGTATGAGTTTTGCCACAAAAGTAGCAATAAAATATTTAATGACTTCAAAAAATATAAAAACTTTACTAAAGCTTGAAACTTAATTATGCAGATCACAGCAAATAAATTGAAAAACCTTGAAATTAGTATATATGAATAGACGAGTAATGTTTGAAAGAATGTTATGAATTAGTAAAATTAATGCTTTAGAGAAATGCTAGAAATT